TCCCGCAAAGCTCTCCTTCCTCTATGAAGAAAGAATAAGGACCTTCCCAGACAAACAGAAACTCTGGAATTTAATTACGACTAAACCCCCACTCCAAAAAATACTACAAGGAGTCCTAAAGCCAGAACCTCAGAGGGACGAATAACAACAAAAGAAGGCCAAAAAAAAGTTATTAAAAGAATAAATAAATAAAATAAAAGGAAAGACAAACACAATGGCAAATACAGATGCTAACATATCAATATTAACTCTAAATGTAAATGGACTAAACTCTTCAATAAAAAGGCACAGAGTTGCAGCCTTGATTAAGAAACAAAACCCAACCTTTTGCTGTCTCCAGGAAAGACATTTAGCTACAAAAGATAAAAACAGACTCAAAGTTAAAGGATGGAAAAGAATCCTACAAGCAAATGGACCAAAAAAGAAAGCAGGAACAGCTATACTTATATCAGATAAAACAGATTTCAAACTCAAAAAGATAAAAAGAGACCCCAACGGTCACTGCATTATGATCAAGGGGACAACACTTCAAGAAGAAATAACACTCATTAACATATATTCACCAAACGAAGGAGCACCGAAACATATCAGACAACTATTGTCATCTCTGAAAACAGACATCAGAGAAAACACATACATAGTGGGGGACTTCAACACACCACTATCAACAATGGATAGATCAATGAGACAAAAAATAAGCAAAGACACTAAAGCTCTAAATAAGGACCTAGAGCTCTTGGGCTTAAGAGACATCTATAGAACACTAAACCCTCCAAAATTGGAGTACACATTTTTCTCAAGCACACACGGATCATTCTGTAGGATCAATCACATACTGGGACACAAAACAAACATCAACAGATACACCAAGATTGAAACCAACCATCTTTTCTGACCATGAAGGCATCAAACTAGAAATAAACCATAAAAAGAAGGCAAGGAACTTTCCTACCTCATGGAGATTGAAAAACCACACTTCTGGAAGACCACTGGACTAATGAGGAGATCAAAGAAGAAATTAAAAAATTCTTTGAATTGAATGACAAGGAGGACACCAATTTCCTAAATGTATGGGATGCAGCAAAAGCAGTAATAAGAGGAAAATATATAGCAATAGAGGCTCACATCAAGAAACAAGAACTCAAAGAAACAACCTAATCTTGAAGCTCAAAGATCTAGAAAAAGAACAACAAAAAAACACCAAAAGCAGTAGAAGAAATAATAAAAACCAAACCAGAAATAAATGAAATTGAAACTAAAAAAACAACCCAAAAGATCAATGAAACCAAGAGCTGGTTCTTTGAAAAAATCAACAAAATAGACAAACCCCTAGCCAGGTTCACAAAGGAAAAAAGAGAGAAAGCACAAATAAACAGGATCATAAACGAAAGAGGAGAAATCACAACGGACACAGCAGAAATCAAAAGAATAATCAGTAATTACTATGAACAGTTATATGGAAACAAGTTCAACAATCTAGAGGAGATGGACAAATTCCTACAACTCTACAATCACCCAGAGCTATATAAAGAAGAAATAGAGGGCTTCCCCGGTGGCGCAGTGGTTGAGCGCTGGGTTGTGAAGCTGCCTGCGGCCTCTGCAGCGCCCATTAGATCCCCAGCTGCTCCCCGGCCACCGGAGGAGAGTCCCACATGGCGCGCAGACCTCTCCTGCCGCCCGCTGCTCCCCTCAGCAGTGTACTTCGGTCCTTCTGCCTGCTCTGCTCCCCGCTCTGGCTCTGGCGAATTCTCTCACCCTCCCACGCTTCTGACTGTACCCAGTGCATGTATAAACAAAACAAAACAAAAAACAAACAAACAAATAAATAAATAAAACATGCCTCTATAAAAAAAAAAAAAAGAAGAAGAAATAGAACACCTAAACAGACCAATTACAAGCAGTGAAATTGAAATGGTAATCAAAAACCTCCCCAAAAACAAAAGCCCAGGACCTGATGGATTTACAAATGAATTCTACCAAACATTCAGAGACGAATTAGTGCCTATCCTTCACAAACTCATCCAAACAATTGAGAAGGAAGGGACAATACCAAACACATTCTATGAAGCCAACATTACACTAATACCAAAACCAAACTAGGACAACACCAAAAAGGAAAACTACAGGCCAATCTCCCTAATGAACAGTGATACAAAAATCCTCAATAAAATTTTAGCTATCAGAATCTAACAATGTATCCATAAGATAATTCACCACGACCAAGTAGGATTCAAGCCAGGGACACAAGGATGGTTCAACATCCGAAAATCAATCAACGTTATCCAACACATCAACAAAAAGAAATATAAAAACCATATGATAATTTCAATAGATGCTGAGAAAGGTTTCGACAAAGTGCAACACCCATTCATGATAAAAGCCCTTGAAATTCTTGGGATACAAGGAACATACCACAACAACATAAAGGCCATATATGACAAGCCAAAGGCCAGTATCATTCACAATGGTGAAAAGCTGAAAGCATTTCCATTAAGATCTGGAACAAGACAAGGGTGTCCACTCTCACCACTGCTTTTCAATATAATACTGCAAGTCCTAGCCAGAGCAATAAGACAAGAGAAAGACATACAAGGAATCCAAATAGGAAAAGAAGAAGTCAAACTATCACTATTTGCAGATGATATGATAATATACATAGAGAACCCCAAAAACTGCACAGAAAAACTAATTCAACTCATCAATCAGTTCAGTAAAGTGGCAGGATACAAAATCAACACGCAAAAGTCAGTAGCCTTCCTATACACAAACAATAAATCTGAAGAAGAAGAAGAAATCAAAAAAACCCATCCCTTTTATTATCGAAACAAAAAGAAAATCAAATACTTGGGAATAAATCTAACAAAAGAGGTAAAGGACCAATACAAAGAAAACTATAAAACACTGTTGAAAGAAATAGAAGAAGACACAAAGAAATGGAAAGACATCCCCTGCTCATGGATTGGAAGAATAAACATTATTAAAATGGCCATCCTACCAAAAGCAATATACAGATTCAATGCTATTCCAATCAAAATTTCAATGTCATTCTTCAAAGAAATAGAACAATTATTGATGAAATTCATATGGAATCACCAAAAACCCCGAATAGCCAAAGCTCTCCTGAAAAAAAAAAAAAAAAGAAGGGAATGGAGGCATCACACTCCCAGATTTCAAACTATACTACAAAGCCATAACCATCAAAACTGTGCAGTATTGGAACAAGAACCGACACACAGACCAATGGAATCAAATAGAAAATCCAGAAATAAACCCACAGATTTATGGTCAACTAATCTTTGACAAAGGAGCAAAGACTATGCATTGGAGCAAAGAAAGTTTGTTCAATAAATGGTGCTGGGGAAACTGGGTCGCTACGTGCAAAAGAATGAAGCTTGACCACTACCTCACACCATACACAAAAATCAACTCAAAATGGATTAAAGAACTAGACATAAGACCTGAAACCATAAAATACATAGAAGGAAATATAGGCGAAACACTACGTGATATGCACATCAAAGACATCTTTACAGACACATCACCCAAAGCAGTGATAGTGAAGGCAAAGATAAACAGCTGGGACTACATCAAATTAAAGAGCTTCTGCACAGCAAAAGAGACAATAACAAAAACAAAGAGAAACCCCACCAACTGGGAGAACACTTTTGCACACAACACTAATGATAAAGGACTGATCACAAAAATCTGCAAGAGCTGATGAGACTCAACAACAACAAAGAAAATAATCCTGTCAAAAAATGGGCAGAAGTGCTAAAAAGAAACTTCTCTGAAGAGGAAATACAAATGCCCGCCAGGCATATAAAAAAATGTTCAACATCACTTGTAATCAGGGAAATGCAAATCAAAACTACCATGAGATACATCTCACACCAGTGAGAATGGCACATATTAAAAAAACTAGCAACAACAAATGTTGGCAAGGATGTGGAGAAAAAGGAACTCTCCTGCACTGTTGGTGGGAGTGCAAACTAGTCCAACCACTATGGAGAGCTGTGTGGAGATTTCTGGACCTACTAAACATAGAGTTTCCATATGATCCAGCAATTCCACTCCTAGGTATTTACCCAAAGGACACAGAAACATCAATTCCAAAGAGCACCTGCACCCCTATGTTTATAGCAGCACTGTTTACAATAGCTAAGCTTTGGAAACAACCCAAATGCCCAAAAATAGATGACTGGATCAAGAAGATGTGGTACATATACACCATGGAATATTACACAGCATTCAAAAAAGATAAACACATGCAATTTTCAGCAACATGGATGGCGCTGGAAGGGATCATGCTCAGCGAAATAAGCCAGAAAGAAAAAGAAAAATACCAGGTGGTCTCACTCATAGCAGGAATCTAGAAAACTTAAATAAGGGACCAGGAAAATGAATAACTCTAAGAAAGTGAAAATCAAAATCAACAAAAAACTATGAACCAGAGACACTCTGTGGGGGATGGGGGACGGGGAGGGGAGGGTTGTGGTCAAAATAAGGGGGTTGCAATTTTATGGGGAATATAAAAATAAAATTTATTTAAAAAAATAAAATTTGCTTCTCAAAAAAAAATAATTATAATAAAAAAAAATGGTGGTGGAAAAGGACTGATGGTCCAATTTATGGCATCCCCAATCAGCATTAAAGTATCCACTGGCATATGAAAGAAACCAGTAAGACATCCCTTTACTTGGATCTACCCAGGTTTCCAAAACTTAACTGCCCTACGAAATACATGCTTCAGGTGCCCGAGGGGCCCCGCTTAACCACCTCATCACTGGGGAGCTGGTGAGAAGATTCACCCGAGACAAGGTGGGAAGCAGAACAGGCTGATTTACCAAAATATACTTCTAAGGGGAGCCTCGGGTGAGACAGAGAGGTCTGCAACCGTATGTCATTTAGCTCCCTGTCTGGGCATTGAAATCAAGCTGTATCAGTGATAGTGCTGAGACTGAACCACTAACTGGGCCACCAGTGAGAACCCAATGTCTTACCTGGACTGTAAGGTCTGATGGTTCCTGTAACTTGATAGTTTTAGAGAAGTTTGATTATCCAGAGTATTTAAAAAATCTTCCAAAATAAGACGGTAAGCAAGAGTCTAAAGTGAGTTCAAAAGAAAAACCAAGAAATGAAATCAACATTTTGAATATCTGAACATAAAATGTAATGACCTGCAACAATGCCTCCCATGACCTTTAACCTATTTATGAATTCTTAACCTTTCTTTTGAAGGATTATTGTCTCTGCTTTCTCCATTTCTAAGAGTAAATTTCTCCTACACATGAAGAATCTCCAGTAAGGCATTTTAAAAATCCTTAGTAATTTTTTTTTTTTAAATCTGGTGAAGAATTGGTTAGACAGTATCAACTATCAGATCATTTATGTAACTTCAATGAATATGTATTGGCGGGAAATAGCTGTAAATAACATTTCACAGATTCACAAGCCTTCTACTACCCCAATCTACCATGATGATGTTCATAGCTGTAAAGCAGTTCCCACAACGCTTGAAGACTTTTGCACATTGTACTGTATTTTCCATATCCCTGTCAAGCCACTTGAAATCCTTCATGGAACATGGTAGAGAAAAGTGCTCAAAAGTACAGCAGATTTCTTTCCTACCAGAGTTCCCCAAAAGTATGGAGTGTTTGCCTGCCAACAGGCATAAGGTAACTTAATGAAAATAACCATGTTAGATCTTCTCAGCTGAACATTTGCAGGATAAAGACCAGGCTGACTTTTGTTTTATATTTGGTATAACTATCGACACTGAGTGTATGTGGAAGCTTCCAGATATCAACTAACTCAGACAGCTGGTTAACAGGGTGATGTAGAGGAAGAGTTTATTTAAATTATTTAAAAGATGTGTTCAGAAACATAAATAAAATTTTTCAAACATTAGAAAGTGATGATGTTTCACCAGTTTGTCTTCTAATTCATTGATGTCATTTTATTTATTTTTATACCTGTTAGTTACAGACAGTATGACAAAGGACTGAACTTTAATTTCTTTACAGTAAAAGCTGTCAAGATTCCCCTCTATTTCTTATTTCCTTTACTTTCATTTAAAAATGTTTCATTATACCTTAAATTGTACTATAGTTCTCAAATTATCAAATACATAATGTACAAAATATCTAGGATTATAGGCAAAAGTGAGAACAGACTTTCCACACACACTTCTTTCACAGACCTCCTAAGACTACAGTTTATATCCTAAGAGTTCTGTGAGGAACTCGGCAAAGCTTTCATCTGTATTAACAAATACAGAAATTAAGTTGATTCACTGTAGCATAAAAGAATTTGGTAATGTTTAACAAGGAAACTGCTGACAAATCTGTATCTAAACTTTCAAGACAATGCACTAATAAGTTTAAAACTACATATAAATTAATTATATGCACACATTTCTTTCCTTTTTGGGTATACAACAAGAGTTCTCAAACTGTAAACGCAAGGTGAATAAGGAAGCCCCCAAAAATCTCTTTAAAACGACTTACAATATGCTGACCCCTCCTAAATATAATTAATTTTATTTTATTTTTAAAACATTTATTTATCTATTTATACAAGAACTGGGGTACAGGCCAGATTCCCGGGAGGGTGAGAGGATTCACCAGAGACAGAGCGGGGAACAGAATAGGCAGCGGGTGAGACAGGAGTGGTCGGCCGCGCCATGTGGGACTCTTGCCAGCAGGCCAGCACTGAAACGGTGCTGCAGAGGTTGCGGACAGCTTCACAGTGCTGCACTCAAAGGCCTGCACCAACAGGGAGGACCCAATATATTCGTTTTAAAAAGAAGGAGGAGTCTGGTCTAAATATCATTTTGGTACACTCAATAATTACACCGCAGTGGGCAAACATCCATTGCACAAAACATCACCCTAAATAGTTAAGACGCTATCTAATGAATTAACAAAAATCACAGCTGTCACGTCTTTCCCCCTGGGAAATATTACAAATACAAGAACATTTCTCAAGTCTCCCTCATGGTCATTTTTAAGGTATGAGAAGTCACATAATCAAATGTACTCTTTAGAGAGGAAACAACTGACAATAGAAACTGTTACTTTCCAAAGAAGACTTCAATTTGAGTAGCTCTTGTCTTAGTCACTAGAATTAACCTAAGACTGGAAGTGCGCCCCACATTTGTTTCCCACACCAGTTTTCAAGAAGACCTAATGCATCTGGCATTGGAAGACACCATTCTCACGCCAGCCAGTAAACAGCAATTTTTAATTTGTAAAAAGCTATTGAAAGAAAACGGAAATTCACTTGCAATTTAAGTAAGCTCTATCTGCATGCGGTGTTCTGCCTGTTCTCTTCACCATCCCTACTATCTAACCTGTGCTCTCCAGTACCATGACCACCAGTTATCAAGTGGTCTGTTTAGGTAAACATGAAATTGAGTTTATTTAATTTAGACTTGTGTCATTCCAAGTGTCTGATAGTCACATATGATTAGTGGGTAGAGTACTGATCAGAGAAAATGCAGACACTTAGATTAGGACAGGGAAGCACAGCCAGCAGTCAAATGATGAACATTCCCGAAGACTGACACTTGACTTCACATCATCTTACATATCTGAAATAGTGAGCTTTTCAAAAAAAACCTCCTACCTCCTCTTCCTAAAAAATCTCAAACAGTCGTACCTCTACAATTTAGAAAATGGGTCCTACAGAGAAGAATGCCAATTTCATAGTCCTTAAATCCTAAACCATTACCACACCTGAGAAGAGGCAAACCGCAGCGTAGTGTAACTCTTTCCCCTATTACCTCCCGCACAGACCCATGGACCAGAGTCCCTAGAAAGTCCCTGGACTGACCTGTCCCGTCTATTCCCACCACCGTTTGACCTTCAGCTCCAACTCTGGAGTCCGAGGACCAGGCTCCTTCCCCTGCGCCCTCCCAGGGTCCCTCCCCGCGCCCAGACAGCACCCGGGGGCTCAGCTCCCCAGAGCTCAAACTGCTGCCCTAGGGTCTGGCTCCCGCCCCGCCCCCTACACTGGGCCACTGGGACCGTTAAAAGGGGCGGGGGGGGGGGCCCGGAGCCTCCCAGAGAAGGTCGCCAAGGGTGGGCAGAAGCCAGCCCCGCCCCAGCCTCAGCCCCAAACCCACGCAGCCCATCCCACCTTCCCAGCGCTGGGAGTTTACTCAGACCCACCAGCTCACCTCCTAGTGCCCCCCCATCCCCAGGAGCACCAGATACCCCGCCGCCTTAGCTAAGATCTTAGGAGTATCAGTGCGATGCATGCAATAAGGTCTGTCCCAGCGCAACACAACCTCCTGAGGCCTGGGCTGGTGTTCTTACTGTTTTAAATTCCTCGTTGTTCCTGTAACTTATTTTTTAATGAATGAAAAACTAAAGGAATGTTCACATAAATGGAATTTTTATGAGATTGTGTGCGTGTGTGCATAAAAGTGAATGTAAATGTTTGTTGTTGTTTTTTTAAAGATTATTTATTTATACAAGGACTGGGTACAGTCAGAAGTGCAGGAGGGTGAGAGAATTCACCAGAGAGAGAGGGGGTGGTGGGGGACAGAACAGGCCAACTGACTAAAATACACTGCTGAGTGGGCGCAGGAAGGGTCTGCGTGCCATGTGGGACCCTCACCAGTGGCTGAGCATCTAACCCATGCTACAGAGGCTGCGGGCAGCATCGCAGCCCAGCGTTCATCCACTGTGCCTCTAGGGGAGGCCCTGAATGTAAATGTTTTGCAAAAAGTCTAGAAATACACCAAGTTTTACATGTTCATGTCCAAGGGGATGGGAAGTATAAACAGGGATGTGGGTAAAAACAGCCTTTTTTTTTCTCTCTCTCTCTGTTCAACTATTCCTTGACTCTATTACAAAACGAATGCATTCAGATATTATTTATGCAACAGACACATAACCAGACTTCTCATTTCTGGCCCAGCATGTGAGGAGCTTAGAAGTCACTCTTCCACCATAATGACAAGCTGAACAAAGTGAGACATCAGCCACTCTCCTTGGGTCCATCAGGTAAGTGAGGTCACAGGACAAATCACTGCCTGAAACGTGGGACAGACAGGCCTCTGGAGAGAATCCCAGCTACTAGAACAGAAACTCATGAGCAGTGCCAGGGTAGAGAGCCTGTCATTGATGAATTACAGGATATGCAGCGTAGTTGAGCGTGAAGGTCAAAAACTCCAGCACACAGAGGCACTGGGCACCCGTGTTTTTTGTGAATTTCATCTCCATGGACTCCACCAGGACTTCACAGTAAAGACTGGAGAATAGTTCCCTGTGCTTCTGGCAGGGCAGGGTGGAAAAAGAACTGACTTTGAAATACCAGGGTACTCTGATCTTCTTATCAAAACCTACAATCAATGGAAACTAATTGACCAGAGCTTCACCTGCTAGAGGTCACCGAACCTAACCCAGCTGGGGAAGTGAACTATTCATCTCTACCACCTGTGGCCATCCTGGCCCACCTGAGGGTGGGGGCTGAGCAGCACTGGTAAAGTCCACAGTACACGGGCTCAGGCTCACAGGAATACAGGATGCCTCCCCTCTCCCACATCTCACCACGACATTACCAAGGGCTTCTTTCCTGGCCCTTTACCCTGTGTGTCCTGTCTGCCTACTGAGCAAAACTACCTACCAAGAGAAAAGACTTACCAGAAGACAACATAACACAGCTTAACGAGACAGTGTAATCATCAGCACCAGGCTCAGATTTGTCAGAAATGTTAGAGTTATGAAATCCTGGAATTTAAAGCAACTAAAAGTAATATGCTGAGAAATAAATGGAAAAATTTGGAAAATATGCAAGAACAGCTGGGCTTTGTAAACAGAGAAATGGAAATTATCACAATCAAAAAGAAATGCCAGTGTGCTCCTGTCCATGCAGACTGTGTTCTCTCTACCAGTGTATCCCATATGTGTACTATGAGTAGCAAAGGTCCATTTACACGGGGACAAAAAAATGCATGACATGCAATAAGTTTCTCATAAATAGAATTGGTCTGTTAAAAAGGTCTGTCCTCATGGCCTCTGTGGTGGGGCAAAGGGTTAAGTCTCAGCACAATGAAGCTATGGGCAGCCACTGAAGCAGGAGCTCGATCCCTGATCAGGGAGCTAACCCACATGGCACAGAAGAACTCTCCCGTCTCGCCCTCTGCTCCCCTCAGCAGTGTATTTCAGTCAACACGTGGGTTCTGCTCCCCAATCTGTCTCTGGTGAATCCCCTCATTCCCCACACCTCTGGCCAATACCCCAGTTCGTGAATACATAAATAAAATAAATATTTAAAAACAAACAAAATTCTGTCCTAAATTTTGAGATTATGCCCTTAAACTTTGCCTTAAAATTCTCTTTCTTTTAAGGAATCAAGGTTATAAAGACACTTTAAAATTTAATTGTCCTTTTATTTTAAATACTTTTATGTATTTGATTGACCTCTCTTTCCTTGAAATCCCAGGCTCCCACCCCATTCCTTAGCTCAAGATGTCTAGCCTCATTTCCATGCTTAAAACAGACTCCTTCTCTCTGTGAAGATCACCCAAATACACGCAAATGAATGGATCCTTTTCTCCTGCTCATCTATCTGATGTTGTTTTCACTACATTGTTCAGCCCAAGAAGAACCTAGAAGTAAAAGGGAAATCCCCCCCAACCTCACAAAACTTATCTGTATGTGTTGCAGTGTAAAATAAATAATACAATGCACTAGACTACTAGGGGACATTCTGCAGGGGTGGCGAGAGGGAAGGGACTATGGTGATGGTGCATGGGTGAACTGCATTGGTAATGGAAATTCTATGGGAACTAAACCTGAGAAAAGAAAGCAAACATTGTAAAAAAATGTTAAATAAATCTATTTTTAAAAGAGAGGGGTGCCCCTCTGCCCCCCCACCACCTCTGACATAGTCTTGTGATCGCTTCTCATAGCTGTCCTGCTGCTGTCCACCACTGTAATGCCAGGAAGGGCACACAGCACGTTTTCTATGATTGGGACGGATATGTAAGGAGAGTGCTGGACCCTTTGGTAGCTTTTTCAGTGTTTTATTGGGATTTTTGCCAGGTACATGGCAGGCAGGCCTGCTGGGGCCCCTGGAGGCCCCAGCAGGCCTCTCCACCCCAGGCAAGTCTTTTCTATTTCCAGGCTCTCTCTCTCTCATTTCTTTTTCTCTCTTCTCTGCTTCTCTTGGTGTATATAAATACTGCAGCCATGGCCCACAAGAGTAAATAATACAACTGAAAATATCAATGTAACAAAATGCAGGGGCCTTCATCAGGCATGCCATCCTAACAGCCTGAGGGCAGAAAAGCCTGAAAATCATTTACCCTACAACCACTCTCTGCCATACTGATGTGCTCAGCCTCCAGGCTCAAGTGTGCCACTTACGCATGCCCACCCCACACTCCAGGTGTCCACCATCTGGCAAACCCCACAAACAATAAAAAAAGAAAGAAAAACGAAAAGCATGGAGTGAAGATAACTTAAGATGAGCAATATGTGCACTGTTAAGAATCACAGAAAAGGATTTGAGATAGAAAAAAAAAAAAAAGCAGAAAATTTATTCAAAAGATAGAGCTTAGAATGTTCCTGACCTGGGGAGAGGAACAAACTTCAGTACCCAGTAAGCTTTATTTTTTTTTAATATTTTATTTTATATAATTCTTACATCATTTTTCATCTTTGTACAATGTATGAGTTTTCATTTTGGTTATATTCCCCATACAATTGCACCCCCCTTTATTTTGACTCTAGTCCTTCCTCTCCATGCCCCTATAATCCCCCCCACCCCCCGTAGTGTGTCTCTGGTTTATATTTGCTTGTTGATTTTGATTATTACTTTGCATTGATTACTCTTTTTCCTGGTCTCTTATTTAGGTTTTCTAAATTCCTGCTATGAGTGAGACCATCCCATATTTTTCTTTTTCTTTCTGACTTATTTCGCTGAGCATGTAAGCTTTGAATGTTCAAATGAGGGTGAATCCAAAGAGACACACAGCAAGACACATTATAATAAAAATTTCAAAAGATTAGTGAACATTTGGTGTAAGGTAAGGTAAACAGTATCAGGCTTTTCCGCCCTCCTGCCATTAGGCATAATGATAGAGCCTTGCGGTCCTGAAAGCATGACTAATGGCGGGCACCTGGAGTAGGGTGTGGGCCTAGGTAGATGGGATTCACCTGGGCCAAGGCCAGGGATTATAAGGGTGGCACAGAGGCGTGCAGTGTGGTGGTGCGGTGCAGAGGACAGAGGAGTGCAGTGGAGTGGACGGAGGTGCGCGGAGGAGAGTGGTGGAGCACGACAGAGTACGGCAAAGACGAACAGCAGAGAGCCTGAAGACAACATGGCTGCTAGAACCGGGAAAGAACCTACCCAGTATGGGTTGGTTGTGCTACATTTGGCGTAGACGGCAGGACAGTTCAAAGCAGGACGGCTCTATGCAGACGGAAATGGAATCCTTTGGAACCTGGGGAGGGATTGCCAAGTGGCCAGCCATGAGCAGATGGTACTCAGTGGCCAGCCTCCTCTCCCGGTGGGCACCTCCCCAGGAATGGCCAGAGGTAGCTGGATCCTCAGGGCAGTTGGAACAGGCCCTGTATGAAATAGAGGAGACCCTGGATGGATACAGTGTCCGTGAGGCGGCAGGGACAGTGGGGTGGGTGTTTCTCACAGCTTGGCGAGAGTCTAGGCAGAAAGAGCGATCCAGAATCCAGCAAGTATGTGATGAGATGCGGGAAGAGATGCGGATACTGCAACATTTGAGGATTCTGGAGGAAGAAGTTTGGAGAAACCAACCCACCATTCCAGAGATGCCAGACTCCTTAACAGGGGAGAAGGAGAGGAAAGAAGTGGGAGGCTGGCCCTTTGCCCAAGTTGCAGCCGGTGGTGACAAACCAACCTTTGACTCTGGAGATGCCAGACCCCTCCTCAGGAGAGGAGGAGAGGGAGGCTGGCCCTTTGCCCGAGTCGCAACCAGTGGTGG